TTGATCTGTGAATCTCATACTTCTTTGCTATGCATTTTATAAGTTCTTTTCTAATGTTTTCTGCCCCCTTTTTCTAAGATTTGTTTGTTTGTTTTTCCAGATAGAGTTTCTCTGTGTAACAGCTCTGGCTATCCTGGAACTCAGGCTGGCCTAGAACTCACAATAGATCCGCCTGTCTCTGCCTCCTGAGCGCTGGGATTAAAGGCGTGTGCCACCACTACCACCGCCCAGCTTTTGTAAGCATTTCCAAGATAAAAAAGTTTTACTTGTGTAGTTAGACCTCCACATTTGCACTTGGACATGTCTTCTCTCCAGGAAGGATTTAGCCGTGAAGTTTATCACGTTCCCCAAGCCACCTCTGTTTAGTAATTGACCTTCCTTGAAGTGGCCCCTGAAATGGCTGATCTCCACTGAGCTTCTGTGGCCCTGGCTCTTCCCCTTGCGCCTTGTCCCTGCTGAAGCAGGAGTTTGCAGCACGTCCTTCCTTCCTGATTCTCTGGCTGCATCTCTTGACGCATGTGATTCCTTCTGTGGGGACTGCTCCCCTGCAGGACTCTCACACCTCACAGATCTTGATACTCTTCATGCATCCTTTCGGTCCTATTTAAAGCAGCATTGCTCAGGTGGCCCTCTCTGACCACGCCCTCTCTATAGATGAGCTAGTCCGTACCAGCATTCATGGTGAAAGGAGTCTAACTCCCCGGTGGCTTGTGCCGACACAGCAGACTCGCAGTTGACACTCACCAGCGAGTTAGAACCCAGTGCAGCCAAGAGTCAGTGTGGAACGTTGAGAAATTTAAAATGCCTTGTGATATGTTTACTCTATTAGGCTAAATTAAATTTATTGGGCTAAATAGTTTTTGTTTTTTTACTCCACAAGCATAATTGCTAGGTGGGCTAGGGTACCATATAGCAGTAGAGACTTAGCAGGGCTCTGGGTTCTGTTCACACTGTGCTGGGGGTGGGGAGGCTTGTTTAGAGGGTTGGTAACTACTAGAAAACACTGAATACATGTGCCTTGTATTATTGGACATCAATGTTCTGGAATGGATGCATTTAAATTTTTTTTTTTTTTTTTTTTTTTTGAGAAAGGGTTTCTCTGTGTAGCCATGGCTGTTCTGGAATTTGTTCTGTAGACCAGGCTGGCCTCACATTTACAGAGATCCCCCTGCCTCTACCTCCCAAGTGCTGGGATTAAAGATGTGCCACCACCTTCCAGCTTTAAATAGTTTTTTAAAGAAACTTATCAAAAATTCCGCCGGCCTGCATTATATTTATGAATTCATTTTAGAAGACAGCATCATCTCTATAGCATTGTCTCACAGCTGAGATACATTTCATTTGCCCTTATAAAAACTCCTTATTAAGATAGTGGGCCAGTGAGATGGCTCAGTGGGCAGGGGCGCTTGTTACCGAGCCTGGTGACCCGAGTTCAAAACCTGGAGTTCACATGGTAAAAGGAGAGATAGACTGCCACAATTGTCCTGTGACTGCCGCATGTGTGCTCTCTGTGTCTCTCTCTGTGTCTCTCATGCACACTATTAAAAAAGAGGATGCTCTTCTCTTCCTTATGGCCCCAGATTCCTTAGAACTCCTTGCTGTTGTATTGCCGGTTATCGTACCTCATTCTGACATTACAGCAAGGGATTGCTTGTGGTTTTTGTTTAAATAGTATCTGTATGTAACCCTAATTTCATTTTTTCTTTGTTCTTTTCTCTCTGTGTCTTTTATTTTTCAAGACGCGGTTCCTCTGTGTAGTCCTGTCTGTCCTGGAACTTACTCTGTAGACCAGGCTGGCCTTGAGCTCAGAGATCTGCCTATCTGCCTCCTGAGTGCTGGGGTTAAAGGTGTGAGCCACCACTGCCTGGCTTCCATCTTTTCTTAAATGACTGTGTGCTCTCAGTTTCTCTTGTTGCTTTGGCTCAGGGTTCCAAACCCAACAATGTTAAGAATGGTTATGGTAAAGCCAGGTGTGGTGGCACACACCTTTAATCCCAGTATTCAAGAGGCAGAGACAGATGGATGTCTATGGGTTTGAGGCTGGTCTGGTCTATATAGTGGGTCCCAGGACAGCCAGGGCTATGTAGAGAAACCTTGTCTCAAATTAAAAAAAAGGAAAGGGGAAAAAAGAATGGTGGTGGTAGAAAGCCTTGTCTGTCTTAGAAGCCCTGATGGGATGCCTTAACTCAAGTGTTTCCCAGAATGTCCTCCAGGGAGCACCGATTCTTTGGAATAGTAATGTCATACCTTGAGAGGAGAGTTCCATTGTTAAGTGAGTTTGCAAACTGCTGAGTTAAACAGAATGCTGTCTGCAGAACCCTTTCGGATAGGTTATTATCTAATGTCTTTTTAATCCCTAGGAGGGAAGGATGTTGGGGCTAGCACATGCTCTGTTGAATACATTTTGGGAAGAGACAATGATTCTTTCTGAGGATGATGTCACTGCTTTGCAGTAGATACTGTTTGTTATGTTTTCAAGAGTAGTGCTCTGGTTCTTGGTTAACCATCAGGGCTGCTGTTTTCTTACTGTGAAAAGGGGTGTTTACTTCTGAGATGAAGTTTTGGCGTGATGATGATGTGGCCAAGCGAGTTTTTCCTTTGACTTTCTGATGCCACGGGTAATCTTAGCAGTGCCCAAACCTTAGCCAGCTGTTCCTCATTCTTGGCGTTTGCAGAGGGCCTTACCATGCCTTAGAAGAAGCAGACTTCTTTCAGCTGCCTGTCGGCCTCTGGTGTCAGCTTTGTGCCAGATGCACTGAAATGCCTTCCACGTCTCCACACTCGTCTAGAACAGTGTGAACGGCCTGGAGATGGTTTGTGCCTTGGCACTTCTGTGTCTTTTTCATTTAGTTCTGCCAATTTATGTTATCCTAAAAATATGTCCATTTCATGCAGATTTCAAATTGACTTCAATCAGAAGTCTAGGATAAATAGAAGCATAACATTCCTCTTTGACTAAAATGTTTTAACTCAGATTCTGACAAGATTGAAAATTCTGATGTGATCCAGTCAAACTAAGTGATTGATCCTTTCCTGCAAGAGTCTTAGATTTAGACTTGTTTTACAGTGATTGTTTTCTTGGTGGTTATATGCTAGTGAATTATTTTGCTTGCTTTTGTCTTTGTTTTTCTAGGCTCCTGAGTTCAGTCACTTATTTTCACTATTTATTGCTTAAGATAAAATTAAGGCACTGACTTCCCTTGTACTTTATTGTTGTAGATTGATGATGCTTTCTCGGTCGCAACATTTTATTAGGAAAAACTTGAAAGCTGCAGAACAATGGACAGGTTTTCACAGTGGCTGCTTGACTGCTGTGTGCCGCTGTTAATAGTTTACTGTGTTTGCTTTGTCATTTGTCCATCCGGTTTGGGAGACGGGCAGACTTACTCTCCGGCCCTCCTGGCTCTTGATTCAGTACTTAGTACAGAACCTTTCACTTTCTGCTGGTTGGCCAGCTGTGATGGTGCACTCCTCTAAGCTACGCATTCAGGAAGAGCCTGAGTATGAGGCCAGGCTGGTCTTTGGGTGAGGCCCTGTCTCAAAAAGCAAAATCTGTTGGTTGGATTTTAAAACCAAATTAGAATTCTTAGGTCTAGTCTTGTGTTTCCCTTAGCAGGTGTGTGTTTGTGTGTGTGTGTGTGTGTGTGTGTGTGTGTGTGTGTGTGTGTGTGCGCGCGCTCCATACCCAGTACACTTGAGGTCAGAGGAGAATGGATTCTCCTTCCATTGTGTGTATCCTGAGAAACTGAACTCAGGCTGTCTTGCTCTTACCTGTTGAGCCGTCTCACCAGCCTCTTGAGTGGTTCTGAGTGAGTGGTTCAGTGCTACAGACTCCAGGTGTCAGGGGTGGTGGGAGCAGAGCTGGCCCGAGCCTGATAGTGCTGTTAGTAGCATTGGAGGCCCTACACTTGCAATGTGCCCATCACTCTTCTTGTTTTTGCCTGAAATAACTCTTTCCTGCAAGGGACTGAATATCTCTTGTCCTACAAAGGTATGTGGGGAAAACCCAAGTCATGATTACACTGGAAAGAAGTTTGTTCCATTCATTGTGATTGGGGTGTTGGACGCTTGAAAGATACCAATTAGAAGTATGTGAATGGAGCCTGGGGAGATGGTTTGTTCAATAAAGTGTTTGTGCACAATCATGAGGATCTGAATTCCAATCCCTGGTACCTGTGTAACAAGAGCAAGTGGGCAGTGAGATAACTCGGCATCTGCCTTGAAGCCTAATGAGCTGGCTACGAGACCTTGTGAGGGAAAGAATCAACTCCCAAAAGTTGTTCTCTGGCCTCCACATGTGTACTGTGGCACCCCAGACATAAATAAAATGAAAGGAAAAAAACAAAAAAAAAAGCTTGGGACTGTGGTTAAGAGCACTGGCTGTTCTTCCTAAGGACTCAGGTTTGATCCCCAGCACTCACAGGGTAACTGCAGTCCCACTGGGTCTAACACTTCATTCTGGCCTTTGAGGACATTGCATGTACATGGTACATAGGCATGTAGTCAGGCAAAACACCTGTACACACAAATAATAATAAAAAATTTCAAACTGAGCTTGGGGACATGTGCCTGTTACCCTAGTGCTCTGGGCTGGAGACAGATGGATTCTGGGCTTGTTGACCAGCAAGACTTGCCCATTGGTGACCTTCCAGCTCAACAAGAGACTCCTCTTGAAATCTAAGATAGAGAAGGAAGATGCCAGTGTTGACCTCTGGCCCCTGTGAACATGCTCACGCACGTGTTCTTGCCCACATAATATGTACATGTACACAGACATAAACCACACCCAGAGAATTGCACAAGACAGGCTATGAGTCGGAACATTTTCGTAGAGTCCTTCAGAGACCCTTCTCACTAGGTGAATGGTGGTTTTTCTTGAAGGGCATCACTTTCCCTCAGCTGAGCCAGCCCTCCTATGCATGAATGTTTCACTTTGATCAAATTGAGTGTTGAACAAGAATGACACTGGACTAATTGATGGTTCACTTATTTGGCTTTAGGTGAATTAATGGAGAAATGGAAGATAAAGACTAAGCAAGAGGAAGAATGTTCAGGCAGACCTTAGGAGTGCTAGCTGCGGAGTTGATGTGAGCTCATATTTACGCTGCTCGGTCTTGCTGAGGAGCTCTGGCGAATTACGGATGCTCTTTGTCTCTGCAGATTGCGTCTGGTGTCAGTAGAAATGGACAGCAGCAGTTTCATTCAGTTCGATGTGCCTGAGCACAGCAGCACCGTTCTGAGCCAACTCAATGAGCTCCGCCTGCAAGGGAAGCTATGCGACATCATCGTCCACATTCAGGGTCAGCCATTCCGAGCCCACAAAGCCGTCCTTGCTGCCAGCTCCCCGTATTTCCGGGACCATTCAGCATTGAGCACTATGAGCGGCTTGTCGATCTCTGTGATTAAGAACCCCAGCGTGTTTGAGCAGTTGCTCTCCTTCTGTTACACTGGAAGAATGTCCTTGCAGCTGAAGGACGTTGTCAGTTTTCTGACCGCAGCCAGCTTTCTTCAGATGCAGTGTGTCATTGACAAGTGCACGCAGATCCTGGAGAGCATCCACTCAAAGATCAGTGTGGGAGACGTCGACTCCGTCACCATTGGTGCTGAAGAGAATCCCGAGAGCCGGAATGGGGTGAAAGATGGCAGCTTCTTCGCCAATCCTGTTGAGATCTCCCCTCCATATTGCCCTCAGGTACGGCAGCCTCCGGTCAGCAGCGATCTCCGGATGGAGACGACCCCCAACAAAGCCCTTCGGAGCCGCTTACAGGAAGAGGGGCACTCAGATCGGGGGAGCAGTGGCAGTGTGTCTGAGTATGAGATTCAGATCGAAGGGGACCACGAGCAAGGGGACTTGTTGGTGAGGGAGAGCCAGATCACTGAGGTGAAAGTGAAGATGGAGAAGTCTGACCGGCCCAGTTGTTCCGACAGCTCCTCCCTAGGGGATGATGGCTACCACACAGAGATGGTTGATGGGGAACAAGTTGTGGCTGTGAACGTGGGTGCCTATGGCTCTGTGCTCCAGCATGCATATCCCTACTCCCAGGCAGCCTCACAGCCTTCCAACATGCCAGAAGCTTTTGGAGGCCAGAGTAATTCCAGCCCATCCAGGTCCATGCTGAGCTGCTTCCGAGGCCGTGGTGCCCGCCAAAAGCGGGCTCTGTCTGGTCACCTGCACAGTGACCTGCAGGGTGTGGTGCAGGGGTCTGACAGTGAAGCCATGATGAGCAATCCCAGTTATGAGAGCAGTCCCCGGGAGAGGAGTGCAAGGGGTTACTGGTACCCATACAACGAGAGGTTGATCTGTATTTACTGTGGGAAATCCTTTAACCAGAAGGGAAGCCTCGACAGGCACATGCGACTGCATATGGGAATCACCCCCTTTGTGTGCAAGTTCTGTGGGAAGAAGTACACACGCAAGGACCAGCTGGAGTACCACATCCGGGGCCACACCGATGACAAACCATTCCGCTGCGAGGTCTGCGGGAAGTGCTTTCCATTCCAGGGCACCCTCAACCAGCACCTGCGGAAAAACCACCCGGGTGTCACCGAGGTCAGGAGTCGCATGGAGTCCCCCGAGAGAACAGATGTGTACGTGGAACAGAAACTGGAAAGTGAGGTGTCAGCCTCAGAAATGGCTCTAGACTCCCGAATGGAAATCCACACGGTATCTGATGCGCCTGACTAAGGTGATGGAGAACGCGCCCCTGAACAAAGCACATCAGTCCGTGCGTGCGTGCTTGTGATTTGCTTTGTTGTAGTCTTTGGTTTTCCCACCATCTGGAAATCTCTTGGTTTCTTGGTAGTTTCTCTGAAGGTTCCGGGTGTGGCACATGTTGTGTTTACCCTCCTCCCCGTCCCCTCCCCAAAGGAGCTCAAAGCATGAAGGGCAGTGTATCCAGGGAAAACACAGGCTGACAGTGGGCCTCTGCTGAAGGCTTCTCCCCACTCTGCAAACTGAAGGCAGGCACTCTCAGTGTGGGTGCTAGCCCCAGTGCATTTCCACGGAGAGGTGAGGGTGCCGTCAGCTGATACAAATGGGTCACCTTTTCTAATTTAAAATTACTTTTAGGGGGTAGTTAGACAATTTATATATATATATAATAAAGTGGTTATTATATATATAGTATATATACATTCTCAAATTTGGGTTTATTCTGGTTGAGGTGAATGTAAGAGGAATATATAATTTAATACAATGTGAACAGAGCTCTGACTCTGTTTCAGCCCTGCCTACTATGTTAGTTCTCCCCCTTTGACCCCCTTACAGAAGAATGTCAGTAGATTTTCACATAGAGTAATCACTGCATCCAAATGCAAGCAAAGCAAATCACAGTGTTCGTAGCTCTGCTTCATAGCAAACACATAAACCAAATGCCATAAAACTCCTTCGCCTGTAGTGGGAACCATTGGAACCATTTGGAACTTTTGTTCGTTGTCCAGGTACGCTGGACAGCGTGCGGTGCTGACCTTCCTACATAGTAGTGTTACACTAGCCAACCCCAAAGGAGCAGTGGTTTTCAAGGTCTGTACTACAAATCTACCTTCATTCCGTACTGTAGAAGCATACCGAGCAGGTAACTACATCACCTCGCTCCACCGTGAGTTAGACTCTCACTAAAGGACAGGAATTGGTAGCACTTGCTACGCAATTCTCCAGTAGTGTTGTGGTTTGTTGTTTTGTTTTCTTTTGGGTTTTTCTCTCTCTCTCCAAACAGCCAGTTCAGGTGCACAACAACTTTTTCTATGCAGTTCCCAGGGAAACTGCAGAACTTGGAATTTGTACTTTTTGTAAAGCTATACTCTACGGGAATTGCAAGCAATATATCTATCTTAGTATTGTGTGTGCTAATGAGAGCCTCGGTGGCTCCTCCATTCTCTCAGTGTTTCCTGCTTAAAAAAAAGTCAAAACCCTCTGAGGTCCTCAGTGTGTCACCAAATCTGTGTGTATGTCTCACATTTTTGGTCACGTGGTGCTATTTTTATGTTAAGTATCTTTTAGGTCAGTATCGTCTAGAAAATGTGAAACCTACCAGTAGTAATGACTTAGTTACTTTCAAGTTCACAGCTTGAAAAGAAACCTCAAAAGCGTGTGCTGGCAAACGGGTTACTGTCTGAGTTGTGTCTGGTCAGTGCTTTGGAAATGTCTGTTTGCTGTTAGGTTCATACACACCAACAGGCTTCGCAGATGGCTCTGGTGCTGTGGACTCAGGCAGAGAGGGCAATTTGGTAGGCCGTTTATGGGTCAGGTTGGCAGCTGACTGTGGAGACAGCAGCGCTCTAGCCTCTGGCTGAGTACCTGGGCTCTGAGACCCAGACTCAAACAAACAGAACCCAGAAACTGAGGACCAACCTCAGAGGCTAGGAGCTAAGGAATACAGAAATAGATGTTTGCTGGTTGCAATGCTTTTTTGGCTCTTAAAATCATAGGTTTGGGGGGAGGTGGTTTGGTTTTGTTTTGTTGGTGGTTCTTTTTGTGGGGGTGAAATAGGGGGTTCGAGACAGGTTTTTTCTGTGTAGTCCTGGCTGTCCTGGACTAGCTCTGTAGACCAGGCTGGCCTTGAACTCAGAGATTCTCCTGCCTCTGCCTTCCTAGTGCTGGGATAAAGGCATATGCTACCACCACCCACCTTTTTTTTGGGGGGGGGGGTTTTATTTGAGAAACAGTAGTCTGACTCCAGCCCTTTCTTCATGTGTAGCAGCCCGGGGCACATAGTGCACCTTGTTAGCACACAGGATCTGCTCATATGTGAGCTGCTCGCCTCGCCTCAGTGTTAACTCCTGTAGATGACTAATCCCGCTGCTCCCGGGAGGAGCAGCTTTTGCTAATCGGGTATACAGTATGCCTTTTCCTCGTCAAACTGCCTAAGTCGGGGTTGGTTCTCTCCCTGGAGCATTTGTTCAGCCAAGAAAGCTGACTGCCTCAAGGGGAGGATGGACCCCAAGTGTTTACCTACTTAAGTGTGTTCTGAGGTTTCAGGTAAATGTTTGTGATTTTTCATTTTCCTTACACAAATGCATTTTGTTTTGATTTTTCTTTTTGAGAATTAAATGCAAAAACTTTGTGTGTGTGTGTGTGTGTGTGTGTGTGTGTGTGTGTTGTGATACCAGTTAAGTTTGTGACAAGAAAGCCCCAAATCTAAGGACGTGAGACGTCGAGCTCAGGGAAGGAGCCTCCTTTTCACTAGGCCTGGGCCTTCTGAGGTGCTCCAGGGCTTCCTGTGGTGAGGGGTGCACTCGGGCAGCACGCCCATGTCCTGGCTCTGGTCACTGTCTGTCTGATTACGTACATTAGTTCTTGTGCTGTTTGTCAACTTGTTTAGCTGGTTTGAGTTTACCAAAGAGTGACTTATCCAAAATTGTCTTTGACAAAAATCTACATTGCTTTGATTGTACAGTTCAGGTTCAAACATTGTAATGGGACTGTTAGGGGCAGAAAACCGACTTGAGTTTTTAATGATCATGATTCCACACTTCGCAAGTTGCGCTTGCTCCCATTCGTGTTGCTAACACTTTACCCTCTCCACTGCTAGCAGTGTTAAGAATGAATCCTCAAGCCATAACACAGTACTGTAAAGTTCACGGGGCTTGGAGGGAGGCAGCGCCCAGGCCAGCACGGCACTGCATAGCCTGTCTGTGCATTTGCACTAGGCGCCTGCCGGTGGGCATGGCTGCTGAGGGCTCTCCGCGCAGACAGAGCTGCAGCGGTCAGTTGTGCCTAGCATGTGCCACGAGAGCCAGCTTGGCCACTCGAGCAGGCCTCTCTCCCTGCAGCTCCCTGTGTAACTCCTTAGAGCGACTCCTTGTGGACAGCAAACCTGTCCCTGTACAGTTGTAGGTTAGGCCTCTCACTATAGCAGATGCAGAAGTCCACTAAGAGAAACAATATGTGAAGTATGTCCTGCTTTCCTACAGGCCTATGCGTAATTGAGTCTCTTCTCAGCTACCCTTCCATGTTAGACAATGTGAAGACAGCCACAGCACCCTCCCCGCGACATTTACCCCGTTGCACAGACTGTGAAGACGTTTTATACTTTTGCTAACACATGTGGTTTTCAGTCCTTACGTTTCTTCTCATCAGTCCTCTGCCCTCTTGTTTCTACTAAAGCTGTAAATACATTTAGAAACCGTTTGTAAATACAATTACAAAGATGAGTTCATTTCCCGTTCAGTGGAAAAGCCTTGGCAGTTTTTTGTTATTGGTTTTTTTTTTTTTTTTTTTTTTGTTTGTTTGTTTGCTTTTTTTCGAGACAGGGTTTCTCTGTGTAGTTTTGGAGCCTGTCCTGGATCTTGTTCTGTAGACCAGGCTGGCCTTGAACTTACAGAGATCCGCCTGCCTCTGCCTCTGCCTCTGCCTCCCAAGTGCTGGGATTAAAGGCGTGCGCCACCACCACCTGGCTATTGGTGGGGTTTTCTTGTTCCCTCCCTCCCCTCCCCTCCCTCCCTCCCTCCCTCTCTCTGTTTTGAACAGCAGATAGGATACTGTCAGTTCACTGTTAAGCAGAATATACTGTAGGACTAAATTGGTAATTTTAAAATCTTCCCAGAGCTTAAGTGTATGTCTCTTCTAACGGCAGCAAGTATAACCACCTCTTTTGTTTTACCCTTAGCCCAGACACAGGCCTGCATATTTTTTGTGTGTGATTTTAGTTTTTAACAACCTAGATTCTGGGGAGAATTTGCAGGAACACAGAGCAAGGGCTAGGGGAAATGGTCCATGTGAATGAGCCCTACCTTAGGTTGATGTGTTTTAGTTTAAGCTTTCCACTTGTTACTGTGATGTTTTCGTTATCACTGTTGTTGTTAAATTCTATAATGGTTTCCTGTGAAGCCTCCACTGAAAGGGACTCAAATATGCAACATCTAAACTATTTTCCAAGGGCTCATGCCCCTTGAATGGTGCTTCTAGCCTGGTCAGGGTTATTTATTAAATTTTATATATGAAAGTATTGGGGAATTATGTAAACTCTTTATACGAGACTATCTAGTTCTTACATCCTAGATTTCATATACTCAGTGCAGCTGAACTGAAAGTTCAGAGAAGTCATTCACTTTGTTCCAAATTTGTAATGGTCGTCACTCACATACGTCGTCTTCAGTAAGTGCCAGAGTTCCCACTGTTTCTGCCAGGGCTTGCCAACTCCAGGTGCCCCCTGGGTCTGGCACAGACAGGGCTATCGCTGCTCCTGATGAGCTACTGGAGTAAGCCTCGCTCGCTCGCTGCTCAGTGGCAGATTGAGCACACAGACCTCTCACCGCCCTTCAGTGACAAGTACGCTGTGAACTTGGCCTGGAGACTTGGAGACCAAGTCCCGGGCTGCTGCCCTGACTAGAGCAAGAGGTAAACTCGCCTGCCTCCCCTGAGAACGACTGTTTTCCTAATGTGAAACCATCTCTTACCACTTTAGCAGTAGGGCTAACATAGTCTTCCGTTACAAATGGCTGAGCAATTTGAATGACTTCACATGGTGTCATTACCTTGCAATATAAACTGGTAACCTCACAACGCCACACTTCATCACCACATGAAGTAAATGAAGCTAGCTAAGCGGATGCTGTATCAAGTAGTAACTTGCCATTAAGGTTATTTTATAGCATGAATTGAAGACTATTTATTCAAATGATATTTTACTCCTGTATTCATTTCGCTTTAGGTTTGTGACATGAATATTTCAGTGCTGCTTAATTTTGTTCTGAATTCTTGTTTCTTGCTTGTAAATGGCTTTTTTATGGTATAAAGTCAATGGAAATTGCTGTTTGTAAATAAAGATGCTGCTAGAGCAACCTTGCTTGTGGTCTCCGTATTCTCCACCCCCACCCATGGCCTATCGGAGCACCCCTGCTTCTGAGGAGCATCTGTTCTGTTTCTCTAGCCCCTGGTTTTCTGAAAGGCTGTAGACCAGGCTGGCCAGATGTATCCTGGGAAGACTGAAGCAGCTGTGGTGTTCTGATCCTTTCTTGTGTGGCCAAGACAAGATGTCCTCAACACTAATGATGAATGCTTTCCCCGCCCAACTCTAGAAGCACCCCGTGGCAACCCTGAGTGCCTTGCCCTGTGCAGCGTGCAGTGGGGTAGGCTGTTCTTCTAAGGTATGCTCAGTCAGTTGACAGGGACCGGGGCTGCTCCGCTCCTTTTCTTCTCTTCCTCGTCCCCTGCAGAAGCCTTTCTTCCCAGTAGCAGCCAGCCCTTCAAGGTTCGGCCCTTCACGGTGGGCTTGTGGCGTGCTTTCCATCTGTACTGGACAGTCACTAGTGGGACTGTCACAGTTCCCACGCCTCAGCCCGGCAGCTCCAGCAGCTCCTTATCACACAGATCCTGAACTCCTGCCTGCCCTTGTGGGGTTCTTAGCTCAGGCCCTGCACTGCAGTAGGTGACTGGCAGGTGTTAGCAAGCCCATATCTTCTGGAGGGCTGAGCAAGGTGGAGGGGGGAGAGGGAGGGCTGGAATACAAGCGTGGGTCAACTTGGCTTCCATGATTGTACCAGCTGACTGTTACTTGTGAGTCAGGCTGCTGGAAAGTTCTCCCATCTGAGCAGGGCTCCTGTGCAGTTGGTACATGCTGTGGAAGGCCTGTTGGGGAATCAGTTACCTTGTATCAGCTTGTGCGGCTAGAGGTCTGACTTTGAGTCTTGCCTTTGTTTGACCATAATCTTAAGTCACTTAACTTCTTTGTGCGCCCCATCTCCATTTTAGGGTTTTATTTTACTTTTTGAAACAATGTTACACATAGTCCAGGATAGATTCAGACTCATTACATAGCCAAAGATGACCTAAAACTTGTGATCCTCTTGCTTCTAGCTCTGGATTGCTGAAACTAGGAGCACACCGCCCCATCTGGTTTATGTTATGTTGGAGGTCCAACCTGGGGCTTTCTACATGCTGGGTAAGTACTCTGACAGCTGAACCACATCTCTAGCCCCCTTTCAGGCTTTTAACCAGGGGGCCCACTTTTGACAAGTCTTGGTAGAATTAAGGTGGTGGAACCCAGAACCTGGACAGTTGTGCTGTGGCCATCCAGTTACTTCTGTATGACTGTCATTTTAACTAGTCACTTTCAGACGAACCAGTCATCACACATCTGGGTCCCTGGAGCTGGCTTCAGAGAATTTTCTAAATGATTTTTTTTCTTTTTCTTCCTTCACTTTCTTCCCTCAGGTTTCTAAGTATTCCTGTGAACATCAAAGGTTGCCTTGACTTTGAGACACCTGGGTTCTGAGGCTAGACCCCATCACTGAAGTTGTTGAGGCCTCACTAAATCTCAGAGCATCCTTGCTTTGATGGATGGTGCTCTGGCTTCTGTTCCCCAGGGAGCCAGGCCTCTGTTGCTGTTCAGATGGTGAAAGGGATTCCTATCTTGCCTGTGCACATGGGAGACATGCTGAGCAGCCGGTTGTGGGTCTCATCTACTTTCTTTTTAAAAAAGATTTATTTATTTTATGTATATGAGTGCTCTATCTGCATGTACAACTTTATGTCAGAAGAGGGCATCTGATCCCACTGTAGATGGTTGTGAGCCACCATGTAGGTGCTGGGAATTGAACTCAGGACCTCTGGAAGAGCAGCCAGTGCTTTTTAACTGCTGAGCCATCTCTCCAGCCCCTCATCTACTTTCTCTTTGCTCTTTAATCACAACTTTTTGATGCCATGGTCTTCTCTAGCTTCCTTACACATTGTAGGCAAGCACTAAGCTACCCAGCGACTCAGCCCTTCCTGCCAGCTCTGATGTGGCTGGCGGTGGAATGGGGGACCACCAGGTTACAGCACCAACCTCCAGTTGTCTTCCCTCTTCATTGCTACACCCGCCCCCGCCCCCAGCCTCCCGAATGGGCCTCTGCCACCAGGCTCTGTTGAAAGGCTCCACTTCCTGTTGTAGCAATATGCTCATAAACATCTGCAGGCATGTGCACATGCGCATGCACATGCATTGTTTTAGAAACTATATATAAAAGATGTACAGGTAGGCACACATGTAAAGTGAGAGGACAACTTTTGGTCTGTTCTCTGTACCGCCACAGAGGTTCCAGGAATATAACACAGGTCATGGGACTTTGTGCAGCAAGTGTTCTACACTCTTTTTCAGAGACACGGTTTCTCTGTGGAGCCCTGGCTGTCCTGGAACTCACTCTGTAGACCAGGCTGGCCTCCAACTCACAGAGATCCTCCTGTCTCCACCTCCTGAGTTCTGGGATTAAAGACATGCACTACCACCGCCCGGCTTCTCTTGAATTTCTAACACTTGTAACCCACCCAGAGAACAACGGTCAGATGAGAAAACGGCTCGCAATAGCTACAGCTCGTGTGTTAGGTTTATTATATTTGGTTTCAAGCTAAGAAATGTTCTACCCTGTGGCCACGGGGAGGCAGTAGAACTCAGTTCACCCAATACTTAGACAGCTTCTGCTACAGAATTCGACATTTAGAAGGCTCCCGGAATATTGCTTAGAGTTGGCAAAGGCAGGGTCAGTCCACTGGCTCCCCAGGTCGGTTGCCTTGGCTAGTTGCCAACATCTTGGCCTTGGACCCTGCCAGTGGTGCACAGGGAAAGGTACTTGGAATCTGCTCCCTGGGTAAGGGCCCTGAGCTTTATGCTGTCTTTACAACAAACTAATAACATCAGAATGCGACTGAGATTTAAAGGAGACCTGTGTGAAATGCTGAAATGCATCGTGTTCAGCAAATAATTTGAAGCAGCTGTTCCAAGTAGTACTAACAATGATAGCTGCCACTTAGGCAACAGTTAACAGGTGCCAGACACTGTCCTGAGTCACATTCCTGCTTTATTTCTTGACTCCTCGGAGTGACTGCCAGACATTAAGTGCTTCAGACATTAAGTTCAAAGCTTGGCGCCCAGGGTGGTGGTGGTGGACTTATTGGCGGGGTTACTAGGTAGGTATGTGGTCTCACGGGTTATGAGGCCCTCCCTACCTGTCCTCTTTCCCTTCTGCGGTGCTTTGAGATGCTCCTGTCATCATGTGTCCCCATCACCAGAGGACAAGCCAATGGGCCACCTCATTTTGTACTTGGGACCTCCCAAACTTAGATAAATAAACTCACTCTTATTCATCCTCACTCCCCATTCTGAAACAGGATCTCTTGAAACCCAGTAACCTGAGCTGACCTTGAACTATGGATCCTCCTCCTCCACCCCGCAAGTCCTGGGATCAAAGTTGTGCACCACCAAGTCTGGTTTAAACCTTTTCTTTCCATAAAGTTAATTGCCTCACTTACTTGGTTGTGGTAACACAGAGCTGATTGCTAAGGTAAGTACTACTGTTATCTCCAGTTTACCAAAAAAGAAACAGATTCCTGGGATTAGAGATTATATAAACTCATCAAAGACATGCATCTTGACACGGTGTGAGGCTGAGTGATGACAAATGTCATTTAGATGCCGAATATGCATTAGCCATTGGGGCCCCAGCAATCAACACAGCAGACACAATCCAGGGAAGACCGGAGGCACGTGGCCCCGTGGGGGTGGAGGGGCAGGGAAAATGACATTTGAGAGAGGCCTGATGTGAACCACAGTGAACTAGCTAAGAGGAGAGAAAAGAAGGAGCAGCATTTCAGCAGAAGGAACAGCATGTACAAAGCCCTGAGGGTCGGAGGCACGGCTCCTGGCACATACAGAGAGTGGGAAAACTCCAAGGCTGCTGAAGCATGGGGGAGTGGCCTGAGATGAGGGTTAGTCCCACCAAAGGAGCAGAAAGACCACAGACCCAAATTCTTTCTTTAGTTGAATTAAGTAAGCTTTATGTGGACAATATAGCCAGTCCACCGACTGCCTGTCTCAAAATGCAGGGGTTTGGAAGAAAGCCTCGAACATAAGAGGGTTTTTATAGCCCCAAACTGCAAGGTTAGGGGGTTTCCAAGGGAATTTTGGTTATGGAGGAACTTGGCAGAATATCTTATGAGGGTGGAGGTCATCGTATAGGGTGTGGAACATGCCAAATTCCAGAAATGGGTCAAGGCAAAGTCAAACTCAAGTTTACAGTAGTGAACAAAAATGAACTTACTGATCTTGTAACAAGATGGCTACTGATCTTAAGATAAAGTCAAGCCGGGCAATTTTGGCGCACGCCTTTATTCCCAGCACTCGGGAGGTAGAGGCAAGTGGATCTCTGAGTTAGAGGCCAGCCTGGTCTACGGAGTAAGTCCCAGGACAGCCAGGGCTACACAGAGAAACCCTGTCTTGAAAAACAAAAACAAACAAACAAAAAAAAAAACAAACCCAAAATTAAAAAAAAAAAAATGGAATCAAGCTGGTTCATTAGTGAGATGCAAGGAGGCATGCATGGTCCTGGGTTTGGGCTCTGCATCCCTGTGAGAGCCTTGGCTCAGACCTCCTCCCCACTGTACCAGCAGTGACTTGGGTGAAGGATTGATGGCTCACCTACAGAGGCCTTGTCAGAGAGAGGGACTGTTGAGACTCCCGCTGGTGGGAGGGATGGAAAGATGAGAGCTGTTGCCATCTTACTGTTTCTGGAAACATTCTCTCAGGCACACCCAGAGGTGCGCTTTACCCCTCCTGTAGCCCAGCCAAGTTGACAATCAAGATTAACAACCACAGTGGCCAGGCAGGCCGCCTTCTGATGCTTCCACCTCCTTACACTGGTTAACTTTGTCCAAGGGACAGCCAGGTTTTCTTGGGCCGAGAAGAGTCAGCCTGTTTATGGAAGGTGTCTTTGCACTCTTGATTCTGTTTTCTGTCACCTGGGCTTAAAGCTGAATTTTCAGCTTCTGAGATGTCCCTTGGAGCTGTGTTTCTAGAAGGTGCTCACTCCA